ACAATAGTCTAATCCCACCTGACTATTTTGAGAATCCTGCGTAGGGTTCCTGATATCCGTTCTGGATAAACTCACCGGGATAATTGTTGTTCATTTATGATATATTCTGTGTATGTTACATTTCTTGGCATGGATTTTCTACAGTCCAAAAACCACGACTAACTGGGTTTACAAATTTCAGCAATCGTTGAAAAAAACGCACAGAGTATAAGAAAGTAACTAATTCCACGACAGTATTGTGGTCACTACAGGGCATGACAATCCTGAGTTCACTCCTCTATGTGGTTATGAGCACTGACTACTATGGGATCCTCTGCTCAAAGGAGGAAACAGTTGTTCAGTACACCCAAGTTTCCTGTGATCCTCTCACCGTGAAAACGAAACGGAACTGTCGACTAGCTTAATATTAATTTGTAGTTTTAATATTTTCCTGAGAAAAAAAAACAAGTTTATTCGCGATTTTTACTGAAGTATATTCTTTTCATCAATAATGTGTTCGATTCATAGATGAGTCATTCAGGCAAACATCGGTTTCCTCTCTCTCTCTCTCTCACTTCATTTGGATTAACCAATCAGTAATTAACTTATATGCTCTACTGAATTTACAAATGATTTACAAATTGTGCACAGTCCACATTGACAAACATCTCACAGTTGATTAGCTTTTTTAACTGCACCATCCCAACTGTGATGTCAACAGGGAACCATCCACCAGCCAGATCACAAAGTGTGACTTCTCTCCGACACAAAAGATACTACTAATGAAACAACTCATGCTACTGACCTATAGATTTCCCCGGCCTCCTAGATATAGATGAGAGTGAATGGAGCCGAGTTCATAACCATCGTTGTACCCGGACGCTATTTAGTTGGACGCAATCGACAGATATACTTTTATGGGTGGTACTAATCAAAAACCTTGATGGAGCGGAAACAGCCAATCAACTTCAAGGTCAAAACTAAGTGGTATAATTCTCAATATGCTGGGTTGATTGATTTCGCTCAAAATGCTACAATTATTTCCGAAGTATAAGTCATACAGAGATGGGTGAGGGGTCAATCGAAAACTCGTGAACAGACGAAGGAGATAGACGTCCTCCACTTTTTGGCTAGTATAACAGCAATAATGTAGGCTTTCAGCAATTGCTTAAATTCGAATTACAGGCTGAATGGGATGAAATCTTGCTGATAACAGTCCTCGAACCGGGAGTTTGAATATATCGCGGTGATGCATGTTGACGGTCTTGGTAAAAAGGAATTGAAAGGCGGATTACGAACAGAAAATTACTATTTCATGGAAAGAGATGGTAAAATATGACAAATTCTTTCAAAATAAAGCTGATGAAAGTAACCAACGAGGAAACTACGTGGGCGTGGAATTTCAGCACTGAGCTGGAGCCAATAATTCTATATTGGATGGGTCGATTCAACATATCGCACACTGAGCAATACTGGATGACGTTTCGAACTCAACTTGCCACTCACAGTCGAAGCGAAGTAATCACACAACTTCTTGTCTCCGTGTTTTGGGGTAGAAAGATTTTCCACATATCTAAAACTGGTATCCAGACATTCCTATCACATGTGTCAAGCTTTGGTTCACGGAAGACAGAATCAGAAATCAAGCCCATCCCTCATTCTAACTACTTCAATCTTCAGCAGTTTTATTTCAAACTTCGGTAATCGCCCAAGTCCTGCTAACAAGATCGACGCCGATCAGCCTGTCTAGCCTTCACTATTCGTTTCCTTTGGGTTGGATTTCCAAAAGTTGAAAATAGAAATCAGGACGCGTTTTGTCAGACAAGTCGGCAGTGCGGAGAGATACTCACCGACGGCATTGTATGATCGTCACGCTCACTATATAGAGAATTGACAGAAGTAGGAAACTGTGGAACACTGGCATCGGACCCAGTGCCCACGTGGCCTGAAAGCCCTGGGTTCGGCCCATAGTATGGTGGAGTCGTTGGTGTGCATCGCTAAGGACTGCTGTAATAGCAGGACGAAACAGCTACTATCAAGTGCCCCTAGTTTTCCACAGTTCTCCAGCTGATGTCAGTCAGTCGGTGCGTGATGACCACTAACTTGGAATCAATCAGTCAGTCCCCATAATCCTTCAAACTCCTATTCAAAACTGTATTGTCTAGTGTGCTATTAAGTCAGCCTGTTGCAGCAAAGCTAACGATTTTTATCTATTGATGAAGGTAGTGTAGGGCGAAACACGAAACAGATGTAGGAGAGATATATGTATATAAAGGGCTAGAAATGTTGCATTTTTTTATGAAATACAGCAATCTGCCATCTTTCTACAGATTGACCTCATGAAAGGCAGTGTGCAGTCTAGGTGAACTACTGTTTAGGTGAAAATTTGGGGGGAGGGTGACGGGAATGCTTTCTTTAATCTCTTCTAATCTCAATAGTTATTCCGTTAAAAAAGTTCATTATCATAGTAACACAAGGCAGTCAGGAATAAGACTGGAAAATGCAGCACTGCTCCCCCCCTCGGTCTTATCCTTGTCGGTGGTCATCAGTGCCGACAATAACAGATGTAACTACTACCCTACTTTGTCCGCGAATGATCCTCTGTAAAATATCAGTAGCATAGAAGTCAGGTGTGAAGTTTTACACACAGAATTGATTTCATACCACATTAACAAGTGTTTTCAACCAGTATTTTCGTTTATTTCACAGAATTTTACTTCATTCATATGACAAACCATGTGAGATCCAAGTACACATGTGATCCTGTTTTTATTGAACGATACCCTCCACTTCATGCTGAAAAAAAGAGGAAAAAGTAGCCTGATCTCAGTTTAGGCGATAACTTGTCAGCCGATGTGCTGAAATGAGCATCATCTGACTAATGGTTGGAAAAAACCTTAAGACTCATGGTAATCAAACTTGCTTACTGTATGTACCGCACAATTATATATATAATACTGAAGTCTCTCATACGCACTAACCGTTTACCTGTTTGCCTAAGCAACAATTCATCTACAAATTCAACAGATGCGTAATTTCCTTTTGCGACAAATATACTACTACTACTGGCTGAAATAAGTAGTTTCACTGTAATTATGCTGAGCCACTAACCATTTCAAATTGTCTGACATGTTATCTGGTGCCACCATGATAAGGTTAAACTGATTGTGTAGTTAATTGTGCTGAGGCCATCAGAATGGAATCGACCTCAGTATAGTAGGTACATTCACAGAAAACCAAGGTATCAACCCAGATATTAGTCGGCCGATTCACATGCATAATCCCTCCCTACGTGGCGGTCAGTTGTAACCTGAAAAGCTTAGAGGCTAAGCCGTTAATCGCCTCTAGCACTGAGGGAAGCAGCTTCAGATCACCGATGGAAACATTGGTTTCCTCAGGGTTACTGACGAGTACCAGCAAATATGAAAAGTGGAAAAAGAAAAAGGATGTCTTCCTGCCGACTGACAGGGACTACCTTATCTTTCTCCCTGTTTTCCTCGCCACCTGTAATGCGACTTGTTTTGAAACCGGTTTTACCCCCTCTTTATGCGCTTATGTGAGTCATTCATGTATCCTTGATATTTTAATTTTCTCTATTTCCCTGAATAAGCTCGAACCAAACTTCCATGCATAACGTTGGAATTATTTTACAGGAAAAACGCCGTAACTTGCACACAAATACAAACTACATCTAATGTCAACCTTTTACTCAGCGCCAGTCTAATCTCGACCGTAGTTCATATAGATCGAGAAAGTTCAAGGCCAGTCATATTTATTAATTTTAGGTTGGTATTTCCCATGAACTGACATAATTTAGGGAGACATTGGAACCCTGGAAGCACTAGACCTCTGTTTCATCCTACTATGGGTTTCCTCAGAAGTGCGCACACATGATCCGCCAGCAGTCGAACCCAAGACCTTCAGGCCTCCAGGTTGCTGGTTTCGAACTCAATGATCTACCTTTTCCTACTCCCTTGAGTTCGCACTACTGAAGAGTTTCATACTATCAGGACGAAATAGCTACTGATGATTTCATCTGTCCAGCAAGCGTAAATCAACAAGGTTGTATTTTTCAGTAAGGTTGAAATCAACAGCTGAAGTGTTTTGGACCTTGGTCCCATCATTCCTAGCTTTCTTCAGGCCTCGAACCATTTCATCGAGTACAGATTCCTCGGTTAGTTGGTAATTCAGCATATGCCACACATATCAGCGCCAACTCAGTAGATACGCTATGCATATTTAATTAGTTGTTAGCATGGTTATTTCACCGTGTACAAGGCATATCGTGAAGAGGGTAGTAGTCAAACGTTACTTGGATCTTCCGCATTGTCTAGGTAATTTCAAGGGGATTGCCTCCCCCCACCCCCCACCCCCAACACTGATCGATGGAGAGACCCAAACCCTTGTCATTAAGTGCTGCAGTCACATCACGTTATTAATTAATCTATTCGAGTGATGTTTGACATTCTGTAGGACCCTGTATGTTAGACATACTGATCGATCACACTTCCACTGTTGCAGTCTGTCATACTCATCAATGGAACAACATGACCAATTAAACACCCCCAGAATAAATTACCTTTGCTTTTCCAATACAATAACAATAAACCCCCATTGTATTTAGAGGTTTGTGGAGATTTATTGATTTCAAGTCGAAGGTGAGTACAAGCACTCAGCGGTAGCATAAAATAAAGGTCGCATGCACGATATTTCGCAGATTGACAGAAGTGGGAAACTGTGGACCACTGAACTCTGACCTAGTGGTTGAATGACAATGGGGTACTGGGTTCGACCCCAAGCCAGTGACCGCCGCTGAAGAGGTGCATACTAGTCGAACGAAACAGCTGCTGTTCAGTGCTCCCCGGCTTTTGAATGCTTCTCCAACTGATTTCAGTCAGATTGTGATTGTATACCAAGTTGAGAAACTCATTTTGTTTATTTTTAAACACTGGAGTAAATTAACCAAACAATGAGCCAATCAAAAGGCGACATTATTTTCTTCTACTTTTTTGTCCAATCAGCTGGCTTGGAGACAATATTTACTCACCTCTAGACAAACAATACAGACAAACATTAACACACAGACGCAAACAAACAATCTTCAACAAAGCAGGGCGTTCAGACGTTAAACCAAAATTTATTCTAGCGGAGACAGAGAATACAACTATACTGGAAATTTTTGACCCATATACCTTATCAATAGCTAAACGATTTTCAAATGTTTTCTCTGACAAACTCAAATTTAGTTGATGGAATTAAATGAATTTCAGTATTGATTGATTGATTGATTGATTGATTGTTGATTTAAGGAGAATAATATATCTATCAATGCATTATTGGATTTTTATTGATTTATATTGAATGAGCTGATGACGAGCACTACTTCAGTATCAATCTATATCGGTAAGTTGAAAAGAAGATATGCTGTGAAGTCTCCTACTTGTCTATAAATAACATCACATTTGAGAGAACCTTGGTTTAACAGACTGATTGAAAGTGAAATGAAAATCTGCATAGTGGGAGGATTCGAACTGACGGCGTTTGGACGAAACTGTTAGGGCAAGTGAAGTAAAGACTTCCTCAGCAAGTCAGTCGGAGGTCTTTAGTGACCCAGAGACCAATCACTGGTTTGAGTCATACCATTACCCAGTCATTCAGTCACCATTTAACCTACTGTTAACTTTCGGCATTTATGCACGGCAAAAACTAATTAGTTGGTATCCTCTGGTTATGCCAAGATCATTGATAGCCATGTGAGGAACCTTGTTCCTAGGTTCGAGCCCTGCGGAGTGGGGTCACGGATAGGCACAGTTGTGAGGTGTACCACTATTTCAAACTGAATTGTTAGCTGCGGGTGTTGATTTGAACCTTCATCGATTGAGATGGTTGGGACACGTACTACTTATGCCTAGTCACCGATTGCCTCGTCACACAATGTTGGCCGAAGTAGGCCCAGGCTGGAGAAAGGTCCGAGGTGGCCAGACTAAAACATGGCACCAATGTATGAAGTCTCTGACTGTTGGTTTAAGCCATGTAGGACGATGCAGACTAGGTGGTTGGGGTCCGCGGGACAAGAGGAAGCAGTGGTTGGAGACCCTAGATGATATGGCTCAGAACCGATGTGGGTGGCGCAGATGTATACACACATTATCCTCATCTTAACGATGCTATACCAAATCTCACCACTTTGTCATTTCCTTTTCTTTCTTCTCGTACTTAATATTTCTTTTGACTGCATTCTCTTATGTTCATCCTTCACCTCACTACCTTTCCACTTGATGTACTGTACTGAGCTGTGGTAACCCAGACCGTTATGCAGTAATCCCTGGTCCTATGTTGATAATGACTGATTGGGGGTGTTGATCGTATTTTGTGACATCCAATAGGGTTCATGTTGAACTCGCGTTTCACCTGTTCAGTATATATTGTATTGTTTAAACAAGTAACCTAGCTGAGCTTTATAATTTTTGATTTAATCCACCCCCTACACCTCTCTTGTCCTCCTTAGCACTCTTCAGAGCAATGGGCATCTGCAACCTGGTGGAGACATGAAGTTGGTTACTCCTCAGTGAGCAACCAACCTTCATAATCCAGTCCTACAGGAGGTTGATTGAGATCTGAATAGCCCAGCACCATAAATTTGTTCATTCCTAGTTCGATTCACTTAGGCTCTTAGCGTGGTCGAGCCAGCAATCAGCACGTTACCTACTGTTTGGGTTGAAATGAAAGGACTGAAATCTAGCATCCTTGATGCAGTTACTGGCTGTTTTAGGTCTGTTAAGGAGCATCACTATGAACTTTCCGAATGGAGTGTGAAGTCTTTCATCACTTATTAGTTCCACCGATGGCTATTGCAAAAACCAACGTCTGTCTTCTTAGAACTAATCATGAACTGACTGACATTAGTCAAAGATTCATTAAAAACCCCATGAGAGCACTGGACGACAGCTGTTTATTGTGACTAACATACGACTCCTCAGCAGTGTGAAGATCATGACTCCCCATGCGTGCCAGGGATCCAAACCATAGCCATCGGGACACATGGGGTTCTACTGACTAGTTTCAAGTTGGTATTCATCACGCACTGACTGACAGTTGAAGAACTATTTCAAACCTCAGGAGCACTAAATGGCTATTGTCGGCCCATAATTATGCTACGCAACGTCTGTAAATTCAAAACGCTTGTTTCAATCGGTAGAGGATCGCTTTATCTTGCATATCAAGGTAGCACTATCTAAGACTGAAACTTATCGCATTTTTTCGTCTTATTCGAGGCTCTTCAGCTGACAAAGGTGTATGGTAGGAGAAACAACATGGGGATAAAGGTTGGTGAAAGTATTCAAGCTGCAGAAGACGTCAAAGAACGAATAAATTTTCGCCATCGTGATCGATTTTCAGCTAAGTCGCGAAGTATCTCCAACCATTTATTCCTATCATCCTACGCATCCCAGGTAAGTGGTTTACACCTGCCTACAAAGCTCGAACCAACAATCAGAGACTCCATCGACTGGTGTCACGTCTCGGTCTGGCCTCAGTTCATGAAGCTTCTCATCCTCATCACCTGGATGTGCCCACATCCGACCCAGTGAGACTCGAACTCAGCGTCCATAACTTTAAACGTCAGAGCACTAATCAGCCTACATGAATCTTCGGGTAATATCGAGGTATTCGCATTGGCAGCTCATACGCCAACACAGATCGATCACTTCAATCCGGCAAAACAGCGGGAAATCACGAGTACCAAAGCGAAAATACGAACTTCTAATGTTCGTAAGTCTTGTAATTTTTTTCCACCGACCAATCCTAAAAGGTAGCTGAAGTACTAATCATCCTGAGTTAATCGCGTCGGCAATTTGTTATAACTTTAACCGACTCATAAGCACTTTATTCTGCCAATTATTCTTAACTATGACCTTGCACGTGATTGGTCAAGAATACATTTACTTGCCCAGTTTCACGTTGTACTCAAACCACAGACCTTCACGATGAGTCAGTCATGCTTCTTGACTATCTTTTTAGGCGATTTGATTCATCTGTGTAGGCAATACAACCAAATGACCTGACCGTAACGCACCATAATTTATAACAATGAAATAAAAAATTAATCTCAAGGTCAAAGCAGATGTAATAATGCACAATTCGCTGGGTTGATTGATTTCACTCAACATGCTGCAATTATTTCCTGACTCGTCACCTAGTGTCATTACGATCAAGCAATAGTAACCCATCACGAATTCATATGGCAGTTGGGTAAAAACCTTGGTGACTGAAGTGAGATAAAAGTCTGGTCGGCAGTTGGGTCTCGTAGCTCCCTTGGTACGGCACCGAGCGATGGTCGCTGGTTCGGATTTTTTCATTTCATCTTCAATCATCATGCAGTATCAATACTAGTCTGCCAACGCACGGCTATCTCATTCAGCTAGTCAAAATGATGAACTGCTATAAATCATACATAGACTGATGATGTGTCATCGAAAGCTCTTGAACCGAGCTGTCCAATAATGTTACCAATTAAGTCATAAGTAAAGTAACTTTTAAACCAAATAAATTAATACGACCAATGACATTTTTTGTCTGAGGAGATTCCCGTTTTCCACATTTTGGCTAGTATAACAGCTAACATGCTTTTCTTTTTATTCGTATAAATGTAAATGTGACCTTATCGATTGATTACTCATCGTCCTATCGATGTTAACATTATTTAAACTGGGGCAAAATCGATAAATCTTGACAAATTCATACGCATGTGACACACATCCACACACACACACACACACACAGAGGGGGAGAACAGATTGATTTCGAATCTGCATAAGCCTGATTTCTTCTAACGTGAAGGTTAGTTTTCAAAACAGAAGTATCTGCAGTGTGTGCGTGTGTGCGCGATGGTCAGCAAAGTATAAATCAGACAAACGCTGTGATAAATTATATATGAATTTTGACCAGTGATTTGATTGGCTAGTTTCATAAATATTGGGCATTGGATAGAAAGTTGACATCACTTTTGGGTAGTTTTATATTTGTATAAACCCTCAGCAAGTCGTTTCGTACGAAAGTTTGGTCTGAGCTGCTTCAGGGAAATCACCAGGAAATTAAGGTGGCTGGCAATGGAACTCATGACCCAGGAGCTTCGTCCTAAGTGGGACCCATCATTTGGATGTTTGAGAACCCTAGCGATGCGTGTTGTCCCCACTGGACTCAAACCCAGCACTAACTTCTGTAAACGCCAAAGAGTTTTCCATTAGGCCACTGGGGGACGATAACTGTCTGTTATATAACGGGTATTGGTTATTATTAGTATTAATTGATACTTGTAATTCGCGTTGATCGGTCTGTTTGCAGATGGGATTGTATGCGGATGCCTCGACACTAACTGATTATTAAATATGTTGCAATTTGATTGGTGGGATTATCGAGGGATCCGCCTTAAGAGCCCATCTGCCAACAAAGGTCGATCAATTTGATTGAGAATAACAATCCTACATAGATTGGCTACTGGAGGTTAATCAATTTCATGTTGTCGAGTTTTAAATATTGACTGGATTCTATCGATCATCTTGCATGTAGTCACCACGTTAGGCGACTCACCTTCGTGATGCACTTGGTTCGAATCTCGTAGAGGATATATGTTCCCTCCAGAGGTTGTAGATACACCTTGATCTGGCGACTGCTGGCAAGGACGAAATCTAAACGGAGCAGAACTTCTTTCAGCTGACGCTCATTATTAACATGTACATGATCCGAACAGAAACTATTCTCTGGTTTACGATTTCATTTAGTGAGATCATAAGTGGCTGTTACTGGTCGATGTCCCTCTTATGTCTCATACGTTCAGTCGATATCATTTTATCATATCGAGGAATCAACAAAGAACTGGTTCACCAGTTAAAAAAAATCATGTCTGAGTCAACAGAAGGATCGACCCATTTGAAACTGGTGAACAATGGCCAATAATATTCAAGGTCTAGTTTTGGCTTGATTATGATTGGTTGTTTTGTAAATCCCAAAAGGTGCTAACGACTTTCAAATCCGTTTATTAAAAACGGCCAGGAAACTGGTAGACACTAGTCTCCTAGTCATAATTTGCTTTTTCCGGGGAATAGCAGTGAAATCCAGGACACGAGCCTTTTGTTCTAACTGAAACTCGTCAGCTGGGTGTACGTACACCACTCAGTGAGTGGTGTTCCCACTGAGACCCAAATGGTTGTCTTGCCTCACTGGCCTAGTTGATGACGCTCTGCAGTTTGAAGCGATGCGTATGAAGTTTGAATCTCAGTGGGAACAACGTCACTGGCTTGATGGTGGATGCATCCAACTGATGCGTCCTAATTAAGACGAAACGCTTACCAGAATCCATCAACAGTATCGAAATTCAGTTCTGTTTACAAAAAAACAATGAAAAG